TGACCAATTGTGGCTGAAGCAGTGGTTACATACTCAAAAATAACGACCATGAGTGGCAAAAAAGGAGCTTAACTCAACAAATTTACTCGATCTGATATGTGGAAAATTAATAGTAGAAACTGAGTATAAGTAAACAAGCTGGATAGATCCGCTGGAGATCGCAAAATGTTTATCAAAACTTTTAAATCCTGGCCGGTTTCAACAACATTGTTTTGAGCAAAATTAGACAAACAGTTGTTATGTCAAAAAGGGGGCGCCCTCGCGCTCAATGGTTACTCTTCATCTAAACAATGACAGATGAATGTGTATAAGAAAAGAGTCAAAATATCAATAATTGCGCGTTCATCGAAAAAACATTAGAGACACACAGACCGACACCACTAACAGATATATTCAAAGCATCAAATTTTTCTGTAGAAAAAATTTGAGGCAAAATTTAATCATTAAACAGCTTTCGCATTAATAATTGTATTTTCAGTAATATCCGATGTTTCTGTCATTACATATTTCATTTTAAACTTTCGATTTGATTTTTCAGGGTTTCAAATGCTAATTAAATTTTACGAAATCCTTTGTTTTTGATTTTTGGTTGACGAACCTGAACTTATTTAAAAGCACTTTGGCCACAATATGTACCAATATAAAGGGAGGGTCTGAGTGCGCGCTTAAAACGGGCAATCTATTAGAAGCCAGCGAAATATGACAAAAGAATAATTAAATAATAGTTTGGTAAATGTTAGCTAGAGGTTAAGTTTTCAGAAAGTTATATTTTCAATGAAGTATGCTGACTGACAATTTTTGTCCTTTCTCAGATTTTTAGCCAGACTGATTGAGGGCATTGACCCTGGAAAACAACTGGTGAGTGACGTGCTGGCCAATTGCAGTCGCAGTCTGAGACCAGTGTTGGACGTGAACAAACAAATTATCGTCGGCGTGGAGTTCGAAATCAACCAGATCAACTCGCTCGATGTCGTGGACCAGGTCGGAAAAAATTCATTTCGGTCTTTTTTGATTCAAAAGACGACATGATATAACTGCGATTGTTTTGGTTTTGCAGATTTTCAGTCTTTTAAATTCAAATTTTTGTTATATCATGTTTTTTGAAGTATTGTAAAACGGTCTCTCTTTTTACGGTCTATAAATCTTGCAGAACACCAAAATTGAAAAAGGATGTTTTGAAATATCAGAGAGTTACATTTTGCACACTGTGAACAAAATTTATTGCAAAGATTGGATCAATTGATAATTGAGCAATCTCTACCCCCCTCCCCCTCCCCCCCGATTTCGACTTAGGGGGGACAGCTCAGCAATTATTAGAGACCTGTTTACTGTTCATAATCTCTTAGCTAATCTTTATTGTATAAAACTATACGCCAAAATCTCCAACAAACACGGAGAGCAACAATTTACATTATCCTAACTCAAAAACTAGACTCACAGTGAAAAATGGCCAAGTTAGTCGCATAGCACTGAACGATTTCGAATTAACGGTCTTTTTGTTGTTTTTTGGTGATTTTTCGAATTAACCATCTTTTTGGTATTTTTTTGGTGATTTTTCGAATTAACCATCTTTTTGGTATTTTTTTGGTGATTTTTCGAATTAACCATCTTTTTGGTGTTTTTTTGGTGATTTTTCGAATTAACCATCTTTTTGGTATTTTTTTGGTGACTTTTCGAATTAACCATCTTTTTGGTGTTTTTTTTTGTGATTTTTCGAATTAACCGTCTTTTGTTGTTTTTTGGTGACTTTTCGAATTAACCATCTTTTTGGTATTTTTTTGGTGATTTTTCGAATTAACCATCTTTTTGGTATTTTTTTGGTGATTTTTCGAATTAACCATCTTTTTGGTATTTTTTTGGTGACTTTTCGAATTAACCATCTTTTTGGTGCTTTTTTTTGTGATTTTTCGAATTAACCGTCTTTTGTTGTTTTTTGGTGACTTTTCGAATTAACCATCTTTTTGGTATTTTTTTGGTGACTTTTCGAATTAACCATCTTTTTGGTGTTTTTTTGGTGATTTTTCGAATTAACCATCTTTTTGGTATTTTTTTGGTGACTTTTCGAATTAACCATCTTTTTGGTGCTTTTTTTTGTGATTTTTCGAATTAACCATCTTTTTTGTTGTTTTTTGGTGATTTTTCGAATTAACCATCTTTTTGGTATTTTTTTTGGTGATTTTTCGAATTAACCATCTTTTTGGTGTTTTATCGTGATTTTTCGAATTAACCATCTTTTTGGTGTTTTATCGTGATTTTTCGAATTAACCATCTTTTTGGTATTTTTTTTGGTGATTTTTCGAATTAACCATCTTTTTGGTGTTTTATCGTGATTTTTCGAATTAACCATCTTTTTGGTGTTTTATCGTGATTTTTCGAATTAACCATCTTTTTGGTGTTTTATCGTGATTTTTCGAATTAACCATCTTTTTGGTGTTTTATCGTGATTTTTCGAATTAACCATCGGTATCATTATGGGTTTGCCCCTAGAATCACTGTTTTTGCATCGCTTAAGGTGCTGGACATGTCTGTGTTCTTTGGGATGCGGTGGGAGAACGAGAAAGTGTCGTGGGATCCAGCAGACTACGACGGACACGACAGAATACTCCTCACAGAAGACAACGACAACTGGCTACCCGACATCGGTCAGTTATGTTGACCGAATTTTTAATCATAGTGATCACAAACTCGTTTTAAAAACGGGAACATACTCGATTGTTACTTACCCAACTCATAAGAATAAAAAATGATATCTTTAATGAACGCCAAAAAGGCCAGTTAGCAGCAGTTTGAGTGGTATCTTGAATAGTGGATAATAAAAGAAAAATACATTTTAAAAAAATTCTACTAATTGTTTAAAAGACCGAAATTTAAGAATAACATATAACAATGGCTGTCGAACATGGCTAAGTTACAGTTATACGTCCGGTTTTTGTATCACATCACGCAAAAAAAACTATACTAATTTGAGAAAAAAAAGTTTTTTGTAGTTTTTTAAAGACTGTGGTACTGGGGTAAGTACTGGGATATTATCACAATAACCAGCTATCGTTGTTTTTTTTTGTTCCACGCAAAATCATCTACCACCGGAATTTGTCGAGTGATATATCATATTAAAGCCCCCATCAGCCATGTGTCGTACAGTGCTAATTCAGTTCATGAGAGTCTAAGTTCTATTCGTCAACCAGTTGTCAAATATGGTGTTAATTAATCTATTGGCAGGTGCTGGCCTTGGTATGGTCTGTTACCCTTGGTTGACCTCTATCGTCACTCTTAGCTCTAACTTTGTGAGTTAAAGTTACTACTAATCGGAATTTACTTATTGGTTGAATCACGTTTTCAACATGGCACAGTCAGCAGTCTCAAGTGGGGGGGGGGGGGGATCCACTTAGTATCACCGGATTCTGGTCATCGAAATGCATTGAACCGCCAATGTTTTGGGAGTTCTGGATGAACAGATTTCAGTGGGGAATGGTGGCGAAGCACACGATCAACCCGAAAAACTACTACTTCGCAGCAAGCCTTACTGAAACCCTAATCACCGCATTGCCAGGGGAAGTCGACGGAAAGAATCGATTGGAATCAGAACAAATATTAATTTCTAACTTGTATTTGTGTCTTGGAGAAAAGGGACAGGACGAGTTGCACAAGAAACGACCTTACCTGGATCTCTCAACGGTTCGTTACCCAATGATGTTAGACGTACTGGAGACGGAATTTAAGAAGGAAAGGAACGAGACATATGAAACATTCCAAATTCTCTCTCCTAAACAATTTGTCAAGGAAAGTCTTGAGCAGTTTCACTCTGTACTGAGTAGCCTTGCGACCCGATGTAACTTTGGAGCATTGGAGGACCGAATCCCCGGGGACGTATTCATTGTTAATATGAATAACCGCGAAGCGCAGAATGAACTGTGCCGACCCACCAAAACACCGGAAAAGGTGTAGAGGATTGCACTCTCGTATGAGTGAGGCGACAAGTACGCGATATCCTATGTGGCAACGTCCGCCGGGGGAATTACGGGAACCCAGGGATCATCAGGGGGGGGGGCAATTCAAATCAAATCCGAACCTGTCGGAATTATAGGAGGAGGATCCCGAAATGGTCGTCAAATGGGCAGAGGCACGTAATAGGACGAAATAGGACCCAAAACAATCGATGCTATAACTGACACCAACCGAATTTTACGCCAGAACATATGGACAAATGTCCAGCGAGAGGAGCCACATGCAACTTTTGTCGTAAAATAGTACATTTTGAACGTACCTGCACGGGGAAGCGTGGAAATCAGCAAGGACGAGAAGCAGTGGGAATGATTCGTGAAAATGACGACAACACACATCCATCCAGGGGATCTGGAAGACGAGGAAGCATCCCAGCACGCAAGTTCTATCGGATGGGTTAATAGGAATAAACCAGTGGTACATTCGTGGAACTCGATCATTTCGGATGGGGACTACATGGTGATGGCGGTAAATCATAAAAGATTCACAGAGCTAAAAGTTGCTGGGGCACAACTGCCGATTCGGATTAACGGGAAAGCTTGTCGAGTTTGGATCGACAGTGGGTCCCCAATATTTATCTTCAGCATCGGCGAGTCACGACGAACTCTTGGAGCATCGGGACTAAAACTAGATGCGTCCTCGAACGACGATAAACATTTCGGGATTATGGAAATAACCCGTTAAAGCTGATTGGAACAATGGCTGTCACTTTGGTATCAAATGGTTGGAGAATAAACGCGAGGATAAAGGTCATCGGAGGAAACCGCCCATCTATAATCGGAAGAAAATTGATGCCTCAGTTGGGACTACAGATTGTGCAACAAACGCCAGGGGACCAGATCATGTCGATTGATGAAGAGCCAACGGAGGAATCGCGGCAAGATGGAGAGCTGGGCTCATGGCAAACTTACTTCAGTAAGCAGTTTTCAAAGTTTTTAAAAGGGTAGGGAAGATAAGAAATTAAAAAGTGCAAGCAGATTTTTTTGAGAATCTAACACCAGTACAACAGCTGGGTCGACGGGTCCCGATTACATTGCAAGAAAAAGTGGATACGGAAATTGACAAACTACTGAAACAAAGTCATATTGGGAAACTGGAAGAAGGTTCGGATAAATACTTTGTGTCGCTAATCGTAACAACAGTGAAAAATGACGGGTCGGTAAAACTAGCGCTCGAGTCGAGGGAACTAAATAAACAAGTGCATGAAAATAAATACCATTTGCCAAATATCGAAGAATTAATTGACACTGTGGGGCAAACAATCAGCGAGAAGAAACCGGGGGATATTTTTTTACAACAATGATCTAACGTACGCATGGGGTCAATTACCCTTAAATGCGGAGACAAGCGTACATTGTAATTTTTCTATTATCAGAGGTCAGTCAACGGGTACGTACGGGTTCAAGTCCGGATTTTATGGTCTTACCACGATGCCGGCCGATTTCCAGCGCGCAATGGATTGTATCCTATCCGTATTACCGCAAGCGCATGCGTTCATTGACGATATTTTGGTAGTAACCAAAGGAATCGAAGTCGATCACATAGCAACGGTTGAGAAAATCCTGAAAAAAGACAAGAGATTATATCGTTAAAACTAACGATAGGCAAATTCGCACAACGTGAATGTGAGTGGCTAGGCCACAAAATAACACCAACAGGAATTACACCATAATTGCGGAAAACAAAACCAATAGAAAAGCTGAAACCGCCATGGACCCTAACGCAATTGAAGTCGTTTATGGGGTCAAAAGACAGTCTCCACAATTATTTGCCAGCGTTGGCCATATATTCTTCGCCATTACGGCCGCTATTAAGTAGAAGCATTGATTACATTTGGACGCCAGAATGTCAATGCGCATTTGAAAATTTAAAGAAACAAGTTTCCAATATTGTGGAGTTGCGGCATTTTGACATTCACAATGATATACGATTTGTTTGCGACGCGAGTCATAAAGGTTTAGGCGCGGTACTGGAACAATTGGGACCGGAGGGGTGGAGACCGATTTCTTTTGCCTCAAGATATCTGAACAACGCGGAAAAAAAATATTCGACGAAAGAATTAGAAATGCTGGCAGTAGTATGGGGGGCTAGAAATTTCCGAAATTAAATACTGGGAGGAAAAATTTGGTAGTAACAGACCATAAAGCGTTAATTTCCCTCTTAAACGGCAATAATCAGAAAAACAAGATCATGTTTAGCCGTTTAACGCGTTGGTTGGACCGACCCATTCCATTCGATTTTAACGTGGAACATAAGCCAGGGGCGAAATTAGGGCTGGCGGACTACTTATCACGTCATCCAAGTAAAGAAGCTACACCAACTAGTACGTACGATAACATGTTCACAGTTGCAAAGAAAAATTCAATACGTACTAATCTCGGATTTGTTCAGAAGCACATAATAAACAACCTATAAATAGATTGAAAATTTCGCCGATTTCAGCCAGTAGAGGAGGTAAAATCATGGGAAAAAAAAATAACCAATCAAAATCGAACACATGGCTCAAACTAATGGCTATATAATATGCGCGAAAATTTAGTCGGTGCTATTACTCAATTGGAAGAAAGTCGCTTAAGTCTATAAGTCTAAATTAAAATTCAAACATTCACATCAAAATGAACCGAAGTATGAAAAAATGGGAAATTTTTTTAAAATGACATCCAAGTATAGATAGTAGCAGTGACGAAATAGAAGAATTACAATCGAATTTAAATTTAGAATCCATTACAAAAGAAACTAGATCAATTAAAACAAACACTACTTTATCGTTACCATCCGCATTTATAGGCGAAACAATCCCACCGGTTGATCCGAATACAGTGTGTATGTCAATTGTACCCCGCAGTTACAAGGTAGTTAGCAAGATCACTTGAGTTATTTAATTTACAATTCATCGAGTCAAATTATGTTTCCGATCCTCATCTTAGTGCAATTAGAGAGTTAATCATAACAAGGGACCCCAAAATTCACAAAAAAGTATCAGCCATGAACTGCTATTACTCTCAATTCGTGAATGATTTCTACGTGAAGGGAAATGTTGTGTGGATTGACGAAAAGCTGGTTATACCGATGAACCTCCAAACCGCGATCAAAAACAGGATTCACGCATTTCATCACGGAAAATCAAATTGTTTGACGCCGCCAAAGACGTCTGGTACCCCCTTAATTACCGTTCAACTGCCTCAATTGCGGAAAGTTGTCCAGAATGTACTAGCGCCGGTAAAAACTTGAAACCCCTCTTAAATAAAAACCAACTTGGAAACATTTCTGAACCAAAAGAACCAAACGAATCGGTCCAGCTTGACTTTTGGGGCCTTATTAACTATTCAAACAAGTCTCAAAAACATGAGTTAGTGGCAGCTGATCGTTTTTCACGGTGGCCATCAGCGATGGTCTGTGGAAACAACCGGTCAGATAGGATCATGAAATTTTTGAAAACATATATAGTAAACCATGGCGTACCCCGGGAGATCCACGTGGACCAAGGAACAAGTTTTATATCGAATGAAGTCAAGGCTTTATGCAATGGGGAGTGGATCGAAAAATAAAATCACCAGTAAATGACCATCGGGCAACCAGATGTGTGGAGCGCACCATTGGTAGTCTTAAGAATTCGATCTTGACGTTTTCACAGGAAAAACACCCCGAACCATTGGAAAAAATGATCGAATGAGCCGTGGGTGCCCTTAGATTCTCGAAGAATGCAACGCTTAAAAGTTCGCCATTCGAGGCACATCACGGTCAAAAGGCAAATACAGTGCTGAGAAATCTTACAAAAAAAACCCTCTCTGCAAAGTCTGGATTGGTATCGAGTACTAAAAAGATTGCTTGTTCAGATGAAGCTGACCCGACTGTGGGGGACATGCCGCATCCTACTCAGACGAATTGGGTTAAAGTCTGATTTGGCATACAAGAAAAAGCACCGGAACCATGCGCGTCGCTTAACGGATGAGCAGGCCGGAAACCAGGATGATGATCCATCCATCATTTAAGCTGCGGAACAATCAAAGAAGCAGGACCCTTTAAAACTTTGCACCAGCAAACCGGAATTAGAAACTTGAAAAGGTATAGAAAAATTTATTCTAAAATAAATTCCCAGAGTGCACATACGTTAACACTAAACAACGGGGTTGTGCTTAGGAAATTGAGTGTGGCAATAGAGAAAAAGCCAAAGACTTCCGTATCATACCAAGCGCCACCGACCCCGAAAGAAGTGAAGGAGCGAACCAAGGGGAAAACCAACGCCGGTAAACAGCAGCAATGGAGACAAATAAGACAACAATTTGAATACAGCGAGTCGGAGTCGGGGAAAGCGACTACTTACCAATCATATCAGTAAAGAAACCCACAACAGTGGTCAATCAAGCGGGACCTTCACAACCACAAAACACTTTGACAGAACCAACGGCAACAGGCGAACAGGCACAACTAGAATCGAGATCTAAACCGAGCGACAAAACTAATATCACAGTACCAGACAGGTGAAGCGATGAGGACACGATCCCCGCACTGGAGGGCGAAACAGATATACCAACTCCAAGGGATCAGAAAATGCCGGCACCCACGGATAAGAAGAAAAAAGCACCACGGAAAGCAAGACTGGTTTCTTACAGCAGCCATGACGATAGTCAGGATGACACGGCTTCGAGGAAAAACGGACGAAAAAGATCAGCAGTCACTAAAATGGGCGGCGTAACGATTGATTGCATTACAACGAAACATGATCGAGCGGAGGGAAAATAATAGAAAAAAACTTACATTGAGCCCTGGGAGAGGATTGACCAGCATTGGCCAAAAACTGAAATTGTTTTATCACTGCTTGACGATTCTCTAGTTGATAAAACCGATGTTATATAACATTAGTTCATTAACCTTTAAAAAATCATCAGTCAGTAATTTCATCATTTTTCCTTAACTTTACAATCAACAGCAAACAGTATTTTTCAGTCATTTAAAGTTTTCATTATTGAAGGGGAAGTGTCGTACAGTGCTAATTCAGTTCACGAGAGTTTCAGTTCTATCCGTCAATCAGTTGTCAAATATGGGGTTAATTAGTCTATTGACAGGTGCTGACATTGGTATTGTCTGTCACCCTTGGTTGACCTCTATCGTCACTCTTAGCTATAACTTTGTGAGATTAAGTTACTACTCATCGGAATTTACTTATTGATTGAATCACGTTTTCAACACATGACTCGAACGACATTTAAAAATTCCAAAACATTTCCCCAATGTCGAGAAAAACCGGTTCGGGGTTCGGTTTTTCTTATTTTTCGTTTAACTTGACGCGAATTAGCGAGCGAACATGCTTTTAATAGTTAGTTTTAGTCTTTTAAAACTGACTATAACTTATCTTTACTCAAGTGAAAAAAATTACCGAGCATTTTTTAGCGCCTTCTTCAAAATGAAAAGAGAACGAAAATTTTGAAATTTCCAAAAAAAATTTAATGTTTTTTTAATTATTTTTTTAAATTTTTTTGGCAGAAACAAATATGACACTCATATGAAAAAACTTGTAACTTTAGGACTGAATGGAACATTTTGTGCTACTTGCACAGTAGACAGCTATCCTAATAATCTATCCTTCAGTTTCGGTTTTTTACTAGAAATTTTCTGCTAAAAGTTCAAGTTTTTTGGAAGATTCTACAAATGCCATCGCTGAATCGAGATTGTCTGAGCATATATCGTGCCGGTGGCGGACAAATTTTCTTCGATCGTGGAGGTCGTGGACAATTTTCCTTCGATCGTGCCGGTGGCGGACAATTTTTCTTCGATCGTGCCGGTGGCGGACAATTTTTCTTCGATCGTGCCGGTGGCGGGCAATTTTTCATCGATCGTTCCGGTGGCGGACAATTTTTCTTCGATCGTTCCGGTGGCTGACAATTTTTCTTCGATCGTGCCGGTGGCGGACAATTTTTCTTCGATCGTGCCGGTGGCGGACAATTTTTCATCGATCGTGCCGGAGGCGGACAATTTTTCTTCGATCGTGCCGGTGGCGGACAAATTTTCTTCGATCGTGCCGGTGGCGGACAATTTTTCTAGCCGCGAAACTCGCAAACACGCGTCTCTTCGGTGTGCAAACTAAAATTCTGCGAATTTAACTTCGGTCGCTAACGGGGTAGTTTTCAAGCACTCAATCACCTAGTGAATGTTTTCAGTTTTCTTCAACCAAATTAGTGGTCATTATATCACGAAGGACCTTCCGGTGCCCTACGTGATCAACTCCTCTGGTCACACCTATTTGTCACGCCCTCTGAGAGCGGACTTCCTGTGTGCTCTAGATGCATATCACTTCCCGTTCGACGAACACGTCTGCCGACAGTCATTGGGACCCTGGGTCCACCCGACGCCCCTCATCCACGTGGAAAGTATGATAAAGGGAAATTTTCATGTTTACGAGTAAAGTATGATAGTACTCGGGTGTTTTCTACCCAAAACCCCCCTTCGGTTATGCCCCCCCTTAAATGATGAAAAGTCAACACCAAAGTCGACATCAAAAGAAATCAAAAAAGATTTCTTGGTACGAAATGCTGGCTATCAATTACTGAAGGCCGAACGAAGCCTTTTTTATCTAATTTAGCCTCAAACTTTTCTCCAAAAGAAACCAAATTCGTTCTGAATTCTTATAGTTTCCGAGTTAATTCAAGGCTATAGATATCAGCCTTTTGTTTCTTAGTAATATCAATTCAATAATATTTTTTGCTTTCATGTTTTATCATTTAGGGCAGGGGCGAATCCAGGATTTTCTCGAGGGGAGCGGATTTTCGAAAAATTTTTCCATCATTTAGTCGACCTTTTCTTAAGTCTCCCACATCACCAAATCACTAGCTTTCCCAAATCCCTAAAAGGACCCAGTTTTGGCCAATTTTTTGCGCCGCAGTTGAGTTTTCCAAAAACAGGCCAAAAATGGCGTTTTTAGGCTTTTATTGGACAGTTCTGACCGAAAAATCGTGTTTTTTTTGGCGCGACCTCCACCCTCAAAAATGGTATATATTGGCATTTGATTAATCAGTCAGTGTTTTTTCTTGCAGCGTATGTCCTGACATCCAATATTTTGACCCCGAGCACAACCTGGGATGTCGTAAACGTCGAATCAGACGAGCTGAAAACATATCGGGGTCAAAATTTTTCATCTCTATTTTTCGCTGTGCACTTAAAACGAAAAAGCGCCTTCTATGTCGCAAACGTAATTGCTCCCAGTATTGCAATCAACTATCTCAGTCTGTTCAACTTTGTAATTCCGGCGGAATCCGGGGAGAAAATATCTTACGGAGTGACCATCTTCCTTGCGCAGACAGTCAACATGATGATGATATCAGACAGCATGCCACAGGGCGCCAGTTCGATTCCCCTCCTGGGCCAATACCTGGTGTTTTCAATTTTATTTATTGCGACCTGTCTTTTGGTGACAATTTTTATGGTCTCAGGGTATATCGATCCGATGTCTAATCATTCGAAAGTTGGGAAAGCTTTGCGGTTTGTTCTGGAAAGAATTCGACCAATTATGGGTCCCAAAAATCCAAAGCGAGATGTGTTAACTGACAAAAAAGTTGAGGAGACCACTTTGAACAACAACTCGGTCAATCTCGATGACAATGCTCGAAACGACGACAAGATTCAGCAGAAAGCAGGAAGCAGTTCGGAGGAGACTTCGTTGGACGGTTTGACGCAGCAGGAACAAGTCGTGATTGCGTACGCGACCATGAATCGAGTATTTTTCGTTATCTCATTTCTGCTGATGACTTTTCTTACCGCAATTTATATGATTATACTAAGCGCTAATTCGGACAGCAAAATCCAGGGTGGGTAATTTCTACAAGAAAAGAACAAACAAATCTGTGAATCATGGTTTGATGACTCATATATACGTGTGCTCTCCAATGATCAATGCCTATAGAACAAAAATGGTGGTTGACCCGACTAACGAAGAAAGTGACGCAATAATTGTGCTCGGTTGCTTTTTTTCAGAAAATTAAATTTTGGCAGAAATTATTTTATACATACTTAAGCTATTGATCTCTTGAGCTCGAAGTGAAAAGCAAATTTTCCTTGAACCAGCTTCTATAATCCTCACGGAGGTTTGACGATTCTCAAATTCGCCAATTTCGAAAAATTAGTTATGATGAATTTTCATTTTTGTTCCGACTTTCGAAGAGAAGAGAATATTTATGCTCGGCGTGGTTTTTTAATTAGTCAGTTTTCAGCAGTCGAAATAATCATTTTCAACAAAAAATTTTTTTTAGCCATTGAAGATATCGACTTTTTGAGTTCATATAGAAAAAAGATATTTCACCTCCGATTATTTTTTGAAAAGTTCTGGGGGTTTGAAATTTGGGATCTGCTTTTTTGGCTAAAATCTTATTCAGACACGTTAAACGGCAGTCGTAATATTCAGGGGTGATATAAACAATGCAGAATATTTCTTGATTTGATGTTTTGTTGTTCAGTTAATTTTTGGCGATCAAAATAATAACTTATACCAAAAGTTTTTTTAATACCACATTGAAGATATTGACTTCCTGAGTTCAAATAGTGAAGGATATTTTACCTTTGAATGTTTCTGAAGGTTTGAAAATTGTTATTTTGGCAATAATTTGCAATAATTTATGAAGACCGTGAAGATTTGATTTATAATGCTGAAAAAGTAACGCGAAATTTCTGCTTATGGCAAACTATCAGGAACTACAAAACCTTTCTGAAATGAATTGAAGCGACCTAATTGGTCATATTAGTTTTATAGTACTCACACTTTTACTCTTGATGTTTGATAATGTTAGAGTTTTACGGGTTTTTGATATTTTGTGTACCATATTTTCTATACCGATTAAAAATCAGCCAAAAAATTCAGGGCTTTGCATGAAATACAGCAGTGTTGTTGTGTGATTTATGAGTTTCTGAAGCTTTCCTGAATCTGTTTGCTCGTCCGAAGATCGCATTTGATTTTTCTAAAATACATCTGAATCATCAAAGTTTTCTTAGAGTTTAAAGTTTCTGTAACCAATCTGGAGTACATTGTTTCATTGTTTCTTGCTATTTTAATTTTTGTTTTTATAGGTTATGCAAACTTTTTATATTCTTTTTGCCAGAGAATGACAATATTGTGTTTTCCATTTGCACGAAACTAAAAAACATTCAATTTGCAAAAATTTGGCGACACATCATATTCAAGATGCACAAAGTAAACATACTTTGTGTTTAATTCATAAAAAATTCTGCAAATTTGAACCATAAATTGTATATTTTACAAATTAAAAGTTCTTGTCGGCTGTTCTCACATTTTTACGTTGAAACCAAGCTCATAATAGCTACCCATAATAACTAATGGAGACTTTCTCTGATTTTCTGAATAGTTAAAGACATTTGATTTTATGCAAAAAGCATAAAGGGTTTTACATTAAGAAAAAATTGAAGACGAAAATCTTGAAAGGTTCCTGCAACAATCTTGAAAAGTTGTGTTTTTTCGTTAAAAACATGCTGTATTCAAAGTTCAGTTTGTAAGATTGAATAATTCGATAAGTTGTTCATGATCCTTGGCCAAAACCGTATATTCAATTTGAAAAACATTAATTCGTTCTTAGTACTATTGTATGTTTATGCATTTATCTGTGAGAATATCAGTACATTCATGTCTGATCCTCCAAAATAATTAATTTTTTTGACGGAGTCTTCTAAGTGAGTCTGTTTTGTTAGGAAAGATGCCTGAAGAACATCGTTTTTTTTTTCTGAAAAAAGACAGTACCTAATTTCAATTATTTGTCTCATTTGTCAAAAGTGGTGGTGTATGGGTTGAATGAACTTTTTTTGAAAGGGAATATTTGAGCCCAATATTTGGAAAAAAAAGCTGATTCGCTCGAATTTAAAAAATTTGTTGCTTTCGCTCCGTTTCTTAAAGCGCTGCTCCTATTGGCCAACTTTGGGCCCTAATTGGGCAACTAGGTCAGTTTAAGTAGAATCACGATGGTACACTAACGAATTGTATTACACAAGCAAGAAGAAAATTTGAGTCTCCAAGCACCACAACAGTGATTTTTGGTAGTTTTTGATAAATTAACAACCGAAATGAAAGAATTTTTCATAGATTTCTTTGACACAATATATTTAGGCTCTCCCTAGATTTTTTCAAGTTTAAACCAAACGATGTTTTGGCAAAACTAAGCGGAATGTATCAATGCGAGTTAGTGAAACTAAGACCCAAAAAAACTGCTATGAAACAAGCCAATGAAATAAAATCAGTTAAGTTGTAGAAAACAGTACAGTCACAAAACTTCAATTCAACATTCATGATTGAAAAGTTGGATAGGTTTAACTGCTGTTGTTCAAATATGGAAAATAGAGCAATCAAAAATTCAGAATTATTTGTTTGTTATAGAAACTGAAAACACTGACAACTTTACATTAAGTTCTTCAATTGGATGTTCAAGCTCAAAGTGTGTTTATGGAATTAAAAAAAAAGCTTCAAATTTTTGTTCTCTGTTTTATCAGATTCCTCCTTCATTATTTTCTTAAATTTCTCAACAGTTTTTTTTCAGATTCTTTCGAAAATTCAAACATTTTAACTTGAACGCGATATCTTTTTTTCTCTGTACATCTCTCTGTATGTCTCTTCTACATCAAGAAATTTATATCAGCATCAGTTATCTTTTTCTGTGATATAGAGTCAACAAATTTTGTTCGATTCTTGTTGCGTTTACGTGAAAACTACAACCAGATCTATAACTGGTTGAATCAGCTAAGAAAAAAAGTTATAATGTGTCACAATTGTGTTTTTCGCCTTAAGTGATGCGTGCGCTACACAATCAAGCACATAGTACTCACCCATAAGCTTCACTGCATTGGCATCATAGATTTAGTGTTTGACAACTGTTGCTTACAGGAAAAAACTTCTAAGACGTGCAATACTGCCATGTGCGATCTGTATCAATCAGTCTTTGGATTCGACCCCCTGCCGACCCAAAGGGTTCCCCTTTGTACTAATTTGGAATATCCATTTTTGGATACGGACACTAAAAATTTTCTAAAGACGCCTTTGGCGCCAATATATACTAATTTTGAGGAGGGAGCGCTCGAAAAAGCGCAATTTTTTAATCAAAATTTTCCAAAAAAAGCCTAAAACGCGTTTTTGTTTTTGACCTGTTTTTCTACAAAGTTTTGCCTTCGGCGCTGAAAATTCGCCCAAAACAGGGACTTTTAGTGCTTTGGAAGAGTTCAAAAAATCAATTTGGTCGATCTAAAAAAAAGTCGACAAATCTTTCGAAAAATGTTTGAAAATCCGCCTCCCCCCTCGAGAAAATCCTAGATCCGCCCCTGGTTTGATCCACTGCCATTTTTCATTAACAAATATTTAGCTAATAAATTCATTAGCATATTTGGCTAATATTTTGTAACACCAATTATTCAAAATATGGACAAACAAACATGTTTGAGAATAATTTTTAAATGATTTTTCTCCGTACTATCAAAACACATTATAATCTCTTCACTAATTTTAATTAATCCATTATGGATTTTTTTTCAGATGGGTTCCAATTTGCAACTTTTTCGAACATAAGTCTGGTGACATGAAAGCGATATCAAAACTTTTTTACATATCTCATCCGACTGCGCTCTTTATCGTTCAAAAAAATTTTATTGGAAGAAAGAAAGTTTTCTCTTTTCGTCTTCAGGAAAAATTTAATCTTTTAGTCCAAGTTTATTCTCAAATGGTTGGAAAATCAATAAAAAAACGAAAATGGGTACAAAAAATGTAACATTTTTTTTGAAAGGTTATAATCTCTTCTAATTAAATCGAAGCGTTCGATATTTTTGTGGGTGGCCCTGCATAGACAATTTTTCGGTCAACTCCTTTATTACCCTTTAGTAATGATTGGCTAACTTGTTTTCCGGCAACATTGTACTATTGGTTGACAAAATAAGTTTAACAGGTTTTTACTACAATTGAGTCCAGAGTGAGTTATGTATTATGTACTGTACTCATATAGTAATTTCAGATAAGGTACACCGTCTGCTCGTCACGCTATCTTATTTTCGGCCGGATAGATTCGTGCAACTTCTTAGTCTAATACCAATCTTAATCTTACTCTTATACCTCGTAGTCTCAATAGATCTAGTGTACACATGTTTAGGCGAGTTAGTTCCAGAATGAGAACAACTGTATTCTAAGTTTAATTCAAATTGTTCTGGTGTTGAAACTACAAGTAGTTTCAACACTTACAAATATGTGGGTTGTTAGTTTGATGGAGTATGATTGGTTAGTAATCAATATTTTATAGGAAAAAAATATCATAATCATAACCAATGATAAATACTAAATTAGATCTGGTTCCATCCATCCGGGGTTTAGAGAGTTTTAGTTGTTCAATGTTCTATTGTAGTGAAGGATGGATGATGGTGTTTTTCTTTAGAGTGGCGAGCATATTCTTTTTTCTGGTTTGGAAGAAGAGTTGTTATCACGATAGTTTCGGGAGATTGTAGTGTGATTTCTGATTGGTTGTGATGAGTGTTGATCTGGTTGATTTTAGAGAATAGCAATGGTCCAATCTCGTTGGGGAGTGGCATGTATATTGACTTTGGATGCAGTCCCTGGTGACTTGGATCTGTACGTTTACTTGAACATCGAGATGGCCAGTGTTCGGTTGCAATGGGTTTCCTTTGCTGTGATGAAAAGTCGTACTTTAAATCCGTTGGGTGTAGTGGCTGTAGGTAGCATGTCAGGTGTGTCTTGCCATCCCGTAGTTGTGATTGGGTTGTCAAGTTCCTTGTTGCTCGTCTTTGGGCTGTATATTATCTATATACTGCATTGTATTATTTACATATAAAAATTAGTGTTTATCGCAAAAGCGTTATTATTTAGTTCGGTTATTTTAAAGAGCTACACACACTTGAGTAACTCTCGTCAAAAATAGAGTCGTGGGTGTCACAAAGCGTGGATGTAGCACGGTGGGTTAGGCCGGCTATAGAGCATGCTCAGGAGGTCCTCTC